TTGGAGGAGGAAATGGCAGCCCACTCCAGTGTTCTTGCCTGGGAAATCCTATGGACAGAGGAACCTGGTGGGCTATAGTCCATGGGGTGGCAAAGACTTGGACATGACTGAGCACGCACAGGCACACACACATCACTTAAAAAGTCACTCTTGCTACATTATGGCAACTAAGCTAAGTGCCTTGCCTATGTGAACTCAAGTCTCGGAGGCATCACAAATTCCACTGCGGCAGCATCCCTCATCCACCTGCCGTTTCCAGACCTCTCCAGGATGGTACACCTCCAGGACTCCTCAGCACCTGGCAAGCCTGTCCGCCCCATCCTTGCATCCTCCACCTCCATCGTCTCTAAGAGCTTTTTAATGCTTCCTGGGGACCCACTCCGCCTCTTTGCCATGTATTCCCCACCTTCCTCCAGAGCGACAGTTCACAATCACAGATCTGATGTTGACAGTGCATGGCTTCAAGCTTTCCAATGTTTCCCATCGCTTTGAGGATGAAGTCCAAATCTCTCTCTGTGGTTGCTTCCATGCCCGGGCTGGGCTAGCCTACTCCTCCACCTCCTCTCAAGCTCACCTTATTTCCTTGGCTCACAATGCTCCAGCTCTGGGGGCCTTTTAAATTGTTCTAGAACTCCCTGGCACCTTCCCAGCTCAGACACTCTTTCTGTTTGCACAGCTCTTTGGGTGGTGACTTTTACAAAGTAGTTGGTTATTAAAGGAGCCACTTCATGCTAGAACTGATGGAAGCAGAAACTCTGTCAGAGATGTTGAGAATTCTCTGTCCCAGAGGGCTCATTCCTCTTAAACCAAAGTCTTCAGGTTAAGGAAAAAAGGTGTAGGGCATCTGAATTCCAATGGGCTAGGGAAACCACTGCATCCTAAATAACTGCAGCTCTTCCACCCCTCACAGCTGAAACCAGGTTGAAGACACTGCCGGGTATCTTAAAAGGAGAGGCAAACCCTGCAGGGGAAGGGCCAGCCTGGGTCCCTGGATTTGGCAGGCTCTGGACTTAGCATGAGGAGGAGTCCCTGATCTTGGCTCAGGGAGTCTTTGCTCACTTCTGCATTATGGATTCTGATTAGAACCTGCCAGAGGGACATCTAAGAGCTCTGCCCTAAACTAGATCTTCTTTAGCCCACATTATTCATTTCTACTATGTGCCAGGAAGGCCCTGAACTTGGCCTATCTACTGGATGCTGTCAGTACATACTGAATGCTATAGACAATGTAACCTAGTCTACATTCTATATGTTATATAGGATATGATGAATACTATACCTATATTCTGTATACTTTACAAGATATATTAAACAGTACACATTATAGTATATATACAATTGATAATAAAATGTAGTAGATGGGTATTATATCTACTGGCAGTGTTTTGTCATAATAGGTATTTAATAAATATATGTTGAATGAGGAAAGATACCTCAATATAATAAAGGCCATAAACCCACAGCTAATACCATACTGAGTGGTGAAAAGTTGAAACCATTTCCTTTAAGATCAGGAATAAAACAAGGATGCCCATTCTCACCAATTTTATTTCACACAGAGGTGGAAGTCCTAGCCACAGCAATTAGGCAATAAAAAGAAATAAAAAGGATCAAAATCAGAAAGGAAGAAGTAAAACTTCATTGTTTGCAGACGATATAATACAAAGAGAAAAAATAGTTTTTTGAACTATTAGAACTACTAAATGAATTCAGTAAAGTTGCAGGATACAAAATTATTACAGAAATCTGCTTTATTTCTACTCACTAAAAGTGAACTTTCAGAAAGAGACATTAGAGAAAAAAACCCCATTTACAATTGCATCAAGAAGAATAAAATGTTTAGGAATGATTCTAGTCAAAGAGATAAAAGACTTGGAGAACTGTAAGATATTGATCAAAGAAATTGAAATGTCATGAACAAGTGAAAAGATATACCACACTCATGTCTTTTGGAAATATTAATATTGTTCAAATGATCATACTCTGCAAGACAATCTACAGATTCAATGCAATCCCTATCAAAATACCAATGATATTTTTCACAGAGCTAGAATAGAGCTATAATTCTAAAATTTGTATGGAAATGCAAAAGACCCAAATCGCCAAAACAATCGAGAAAGAACAAAGGTGGAAGTATCACAAGTCCTGATTTTAAATTATACTGCAAAGCTACTGTAATCAAAATAGTATGGTACTGACATAAAACATACCCATAAATAAGTGGAACAGTATAGAGAGCCCAGAAATAAACCCATGCTTATACGGTTAATTAATCTATGACAAAGAAACCAGGAAAACACAATAGGAAAAAGACAGCTTCTTCAGTAGATGGTGTTGGGAAAATTGAATAGCTTAATGCATCAGCATGAAACTGGACTACTTTCTCACTCTATACAGAAAAATAAACTCAAAATGAGTTAAGGATCTGAAACTATAAAACTCCTAAAAGAAAATATAGGTAGTATGCTCTTTGACATTGGTCTTAGCAATAGTTCTTTGGATCTGTCTCCTCACACAAGGGAAACAAAAGCAAAAATAAACAAACAGGGCTACATAAAATTAAAAGTTTTCACACAGCAAAGGAAACTAAAATGAAAAGGTAACGTACTGAATGGAGAAGATGTTTATAAACAATTTATCCATTAAAGGTTTAATATGCAAACTATGCAGAGAACTCATAGAAGTCAACATAAAATGGGCAGAGGATCTGAACAGACATTTTTCTAAAGAAGACATACACTAAGTGGGTTAAGTGACAAACTTTCATATATATTTTACTATAATAAATTTATTTTTTAATTCTCAAAAAAAAGGAGACATACAGATGGTCAACAGGCACATGAAAAGATGCTCAACATCACTAATTATTAAGGAAATACAAATCAAAACCACAGTGAGATATAGCCTCACATTCGCCAGAATGGCTGTCATCAAAAAGACAACAAATAACAAGTGTTGATGATGCAGAGAAAAAGGGAACCCTTATGAACTGGTAGTGAGAAAGTAAATTGGTACAACCACTATGGAAAACAGTATAGAGATCTTCAAAAAAGTAAAAGTGAAGCTACCATATGATCCAGCAATTTTACTTCTGGATATTTACTGGAAGAAAACAAAAACACTAATTTGAAAAGATACATGGGGACTTCCCTGGTGGTCCAGTGGTTAAGAACCTGCCTCGCAATTCAGGAGATGGGGGTTCAGTCCCTGGTCAGAGAGCTAAGATCCCACTAAGCCCATGCACTGCAATTAGAGAGCCTGTGTGCCATAATGAAAGATACTGCATGACACAATGAAGATCCTGCATGCTACAACAAAGACCTGACGCAGCTAAATAAAGAGATAAAAGACATTTGCACCCCTATGTTCATTTCAGCATTACTTACAATAGCCAAGATGTACAAGCAATGTAAGCATCTTTCAACAGAAAAATGGACAAAGAAGATCTGGTATGTAGACAATGGAATATTACTCAATCATTAAAAAGGAAATGAAAAGCTGCCATTTGCAACAGTGTGGGTGGATCTAGAGAATATTGAGGCAAGTGAAATAAGTCAGAGGAAGACAGATTCTGTTATGATCTTATTTATACGTGGAATCTAAAACCCAAACAAAACAAGCTGAAAACAGACTCATAGATACAGAGAACAAAAGAATGGTCACCAGGTGGGGAGAAGGTGAGAAGGTGGGTGAGATAGGTGAAAGGGATTAAGAGGCAAAAACCTTCAGTGATATAATAAATGAGGCACAAGGATGTAATATACAGCACAAGGAATATGGTCAATAATAATGTAATAACTTTGTATGGGTACAGATGGTTACTAGACTTATCATGGTGATCATGTCATAATGGATGCCAATGTCAAATGCTATGTAGTACACCTGAAACTAACATAATACTGTACATCAGATATATTTCGACTAAAAAAATAATATACATATATAATTTTGGAAGAATGAAAACAATCTTATTCAACACTATGACATTTTGGCAGAGCCTAGTCATTGAGGATTTATTCTTTCAACCCTTCTTTCTTAGCTGTCTCCTTAAGGCAGTTTCATTCCTTTCCCAGTGTGTTCTGGTTTCTTTGGGACAAGGGAATCCTTTGGCTTAGCCAAGTCTGAGCTCGAGCAGAGCTCCCATCAAGCACATAGAGCTGAGTGGGCGCCACGGAATGAAAGGCTGACAGTTGGGGTACGAACCCTGGGAATGGATTTGGAGGGAAGCCAGCCATGCCTTATAGCCGATCCAGAGGGACTGCTCCTGGCTCCCTGAGGTTCCTGAAGCTCTTTTGCTTTCTTGAGAACAACGTTCAAAGCCGCAGAACTTGCAAAGGGTGTTAGCGACACAGAGTCCGGTCCAACTCTCTCAGAAATTACAAGGCCCTACTCCCTACTCCCCAAACCAAGTAGGACAGGCAGGGGCTCTGATTCTTCCTTCATTCTTAACAGCAATGGTTCTGGGTTGTCACCAGCTCCACTGCTTTAGAAACAAGTGGCCAGAAAGCTTGGGGGTCCCTTCCAAGGTTCCCCGGGATGTTTGAGTGGAACAAAGGTGGAAGGGAGGGAGGGAGGGAGAAGGGAAGAAGGCATGAAGGAATAAATAACGGGGAGTGGATCTGTGCGCAAGAGCCTGGGAGCCATCCACCCCTCGCCCCCCTCCCATTCCCAGGCCGTCTCTCCTGAGTCCCCCGATCGGCAGCGCGCCCGCATGGAGGATGCGGGGGAGAGATTGAATCGGGGACGGGTAGGGGGGGCGGCGAGGGCGAGGGGCGGCGGGGGCCTGAGAGGTGGGGAAGGGGAGGGCCTCGGAGGAGGAGAGGAGGGGCGCGGCGGAGGGGGCGGCGGGCGCCTGGCTGCGGCGCGGACGGGCTGGCTGGCGCGGGGACCCGATGCCGCCGCCGCCTCCTCGCGGGCCCGGGCTGCGCCGCCGGGGCTGAGCCGCCGCCGGAACCAAAAACCCAGTGGCCGCAGGGCGCGCCCGCAGCACGGGAGGGAGGATGGGCTGCGGCGGGAGCCGGGCGGATGCCATCGAGCCGCGTTACTACGAGAGCTGGACTCGGGAGACGGAGTCCACCTGGCTCACCTACACCGACTCGGACGCGCCGCCCAGCAACGCCGCCCAGGACAGCGGCCCCGAGGCGGGCGGCCTGCACGCGGGTGAGTGCGCCCGGCGCCGGGAGGCGGGGGCACGCGGGGCGCCAGTGGCAGCCCAGTTCCCCCGGAGCGTTCGGTGCGGAACGGCGGCGGCGGTGTTGGTGGGAGGGGGGAGGCGGGAGACATACAAACAGACAGACAGACGGGACCTGCCTTGTGACAGACTGACCCGCCCAGGCCCAGGGAGGGGGTGGGCCAGCCAGAGCCCCTCAGGGAAACTGAGTTAATTCCCGAGCCTCGGGGAAACCCCGCACCTCCGGGCTCCCGCGGGTGCCCGCTCTTTGGCAGGGACGGATGGGGTAGGAGGACTGCGCGCCCGGCTAGCACTCCTAGCCCTCAGCCCACCCACGCCTCCCCCTCCTGGGATGCGCCTCCTCCGGGTTTTGGCCGCTGTGCACCCAGCCGAGTCTCACCATCCACTGGCCTCCTGCCCCTCTCTCCGTTGATGGATAGACTGACCCAGATTACCTGGGTGCAGTCTTCCTTGTGGCTCCCCCCTTTTCTCCCGTCTCGGGTTTTGAAAACCAGAGCCCTAGTTCAGGGCATAATAAACGCCGGCCGCACCGTCACCAGTTCTGCACTTAAGCTACTTTACAAGCAATTGTTTCGTGGTAAAGACTTCCCTCTCCACTCCACCGTGCCTCGACGCTTAATAAGAGACAGGGCATGAGAGTGGATTACGACTGTAAATTAAATACTCGTACTATTACCCCTCTGGCAGAAATCTGACAGAAGGATATGCAGAGAACTTTTTGGACCAGTGACAAATAAGACTTTTTTTTTTTTAAGCAGAGAGTAATGATTGTAGCGTAGAGATGAAATTAGATTAACTGTTGCCACAGACTGACCTTTAATCATGAACGCGTTGGTGATGTTAAAAGGAAAAAACTTCCCTGCTTATTACATGGATGTTGTCAAAAGTCAGATCAATATTTGTGTAAGGATGTTTTAACTGTTTCCTGACCCTTTTGTGTTGCTGGCATTTAAAAATATTGAAATCTAAAATAGAAAATGAGGTTAATTTGAAGAGTAACATATGTTATAAGAAGGAAAGAAATGTCAACTTCTCTTAAGTCATCAGTAGTCCTAAATTCCTGCCTCCAAAATAAGAGCTGTCCCTTTTAATCCTGAGACTCTGTCTCCATCTTTTGGAACCAAGCTGGCTCCTTTTTCACATGAACTTTGTGATCCCCACCCCCCCCTTTTAAAAGCGAGAATTGTCAGGGAAAACTGTGCAAGGCAAACACTACCTTTATCCCTAATTTCTCTGACTCACAGTAAAAATCGTAATGGTCATTTAGTGTTGCTGATGCTTTCAGTGCATTTTCAAATGGTGTGTTGGCTGAATGCAGTGTCTGAATGAGGATAAGACATGAGCCTTCAAAATTGACCTGGAAAATGTTAGATGTACCAGCATGTCCCAAGGAGGTGTACTGAGGTACTTTCTCAGGAGAGACTCAAAATTCCAGAGCTACACTCCTAGGAAGTAAGGTTAAAAATACCTAACATGGAAAAGAACAAAATACAGCTTCAGGAAATGGTTGCCTTGGTGACTGGAAGTATATGTGTGTCTGTACATGTGTACAAGTGTGGGAGATTTATTATTGGATGGCTAAATATGTCTATATTTATTTGTTTCCAATGCTTATTCATTTATTACTCTGCCATCCTGAGTCATGTTCCGTCATGCATCATGAAATCTGCAACAGGTGGGGTCTGGGACAAGCACGCTCATTTGTGGTACCCTGCCATACGTGGGACAGCCCTGCCAGGCAGGTGGTCCTGAAGACCTGAGTCATTCACAGGAACTGCTCAACTCCAGTCTCAGAACAGCACCCTAAAATTGGCAAGACTTTTCGATGGGCAGGATCATTTCAATACCCTAGAAATTTCCATCAGCCTCAGAGGAGAGGAAACACTTCTGAAGGTCAGCATGGAACCAAGCATTCCCTGGGCTTCAGTCACCCTGGGAGATTAGCCAGCGTTCTTTATTTTTTTCTCCCCTCCTACTTCCTGAATCTTACCCACCCTCTGCCCATGTGCCACCTATGAATTCAGTTCCATGCTTCTGGGGGCACCACATTGGTCCACAGTGATTGTATTGTGGTAAGAAGCCAGATGCCACATTTTGTTGTTCCCATCAACTCTTTTCTGATGGGGGGACAAAAGGAAAACCAGGATTTAGGATAATTCAGATCGTAAAAAATCACTCGGCTTCCCTGATAGGTCAAGAAACACAGGTTCGATTCCTGGGTTGAGAATATCCCCTGGAGAAGGAAATGGCAACCCACTCTGGTAGTCTTGCTTGGGAAACCCCATGGACAAAGGAGCCTGACGGGCTACAGTCTGTGGGGTTGCAAAGAGTCGGATACAACTGAGTGACTAAACAACAACAAAATCTTCACTAATGGCTTCATGGCTAGAATTCTGGAGCTGGAGAGGGTCTCTGTTCAAGGCAGATGGGATTTGGTAAGTTGTCCAGTCTGCACTGCCCAGCCTCCCAGTCCTTTCACACTTCTTACTCCCAGCTCCCTCAGTCCTCAAGAGTCCTTTCTTTCTGAGCCCCTGCTCACTTTCTTTTAGTAAGTATCACATTGAAACCACTTTTTTTTCTGGCCACCCCACCCTTAGGAGCTCCGAATGCAAGGAGTGCACTCATTCATCTTTGCATCTTTGCACACTGTGGAGCCGCCCGTTGGGGTCCTCTGAATGAGTAGGCGCTTGATCTAAACCTGCCCTCTTCCCGTCCACTCTTCCTCAATTTCCTCCCCCTTCCTCTGCCTTACATCTCTTGCTGCTGCTGTTTGCTCACCTGAATAAATTTAACCTAGACTCCTCCAAGGGCGGTCTAGAACAGCAGGAAGGGAGGGAGCTAGGGGAGTGCAGAGGACTGAGTCGTTCATTCTGCCTGGGGAGGGGCCCTAGAGTACAGAACGCTGCAGGAGACCTCCCTGCAACAGGAAACAGGACTGCTCCTGCAGGCCGCACACAGCCAGTGACCTGGTCCTTCCCTGAGTGAGGGCACCTGTGGAAAACTGACCTCCAACTTCATGATGGGTAAGCCTCCCTCCCCGCCAGCTAGATCTGTAGACCTGTTACCACTTGGTAATATTTTCAAACAGTTTTTAGAACTGGAGTATAGTTAAATTACAATGTCATGTTAGTTTTAAGTGTACAGCAAAGTGATTATAATATGGTTGGTCAAAAAGTTTGCTCAAGGTTTTCGTAAGATTGTAGAGAAAAACCCAAACGAACTTTTTGGCCAACCTAATATATAATACATAAATGTGTGTGTGTGTGTGTTTGTATATATATCCTTTTTCAGATTCTTTTCCATTTATGTTATTACAAGACAGTCAAATAATTGTTGATTAAGGCCTGTACTCTTGGGAATGACAGGGAAGGGGTCTTTCCACTGGTCATTGTAGTCCTGCTCCTAACACTGGGCCTGGCCACAGTAGGACCTCAAGCAATCTCTCTTGAATGAATACATCTCCTAAAACTTCTCTGTGTCCATTTCATTCTTCCTGTAGTACTCAGAGATGATGTTTCCCTTCCTCAAGAGTTCTACCCACTCTTCCTTTTCAGGGTCTCGTCCACCTGGTGGGTTGCATAGTAAGAAAACCTCCCCACCTCTCTACACCCCTTTGCCAAACACAAGCCTGTCTGTTATAAGGGTGGTTTTGCAAAAATCACTTCAAGAAACAGGTGGCAACAAACACGGGCTTTTCATCAACACCCGGGAATCTCCCCTCTCACGACCCTGGTCTCCTGGGAGGCCACCCGTCCTGCCGCCCCGTGAGAGCCGCGGTCACACTGCAGTGCGGGCTTGTTCCCACCTCTGTCTCTTGGATTAGCCTGGGAGCTCTGCTGGATTGGGGACTGCATGATTGGCATTTGTGTGACTGGCATCTACTATATATGTGTTGAATGACTGTAAAAATACCTAGATGGATGAAATTAACCAGCTCAGCAAGTGAGTTTTGTTTGTCTGTCTTATACCCTCTTTCCTGAGTCCCATCTTAAGTGATTTTGTCTGGACATAAGTACAATGAACTGTCTTCGTTGGACACTAGATAAAGCTGTTCTGACTCTAATCAGAAATGCATTTAAGGCTCCAGGCTTGGGCCCAGATGGGAAGAAAGCAGTCCTGTCAATCAGCACGGAGTCTTATCCTGTACTCAGCCATCGGCCAGCCCCTGGAAGTCCTGCCTTCACCGTGGGATCCGTGCACCTGTGACCTCAGCCCCTTCCTGCAGATAAGACCATCATGCCCTTTCGTGAAGCTGGCAGTCTGAACCTGTTCTTCCTGACCCATCGTGCCTGGGCGGTCGTCCCAGGAGCCCTTCTGTATCAAGCCCAGGGCCTCTAGCGCCTCTCAGAAGGCTCTGGCCCTGTCGGGACTCCTACAGAGGCTCTCTGGCTGGTCTGAATACCACCTTTGCTTCTTTCTGTGGAAGAGACTGGGTGGTGTACCCCGAGCCACTCTGTGGCCCAGCCTCTTCAGGCTCAGCCACCAGCAACATTCCCTTCCCCACATGCTCCCTGCCCACTCTGCCCCCCGTACCAACCACCGCCTTCTCTCCAGAAACGAAGCTCTTGCAGAATGTTGCTGTGGGCTGGACTGTGTCCTGCCAAATTTATGTCAAAGTCTTAACCCCCAGGACTCAGAAGGTGACATTTTTGTGTTTTTGTTTTATTTTTCTTGAAGTTTATTTACAATGTTGTATTAGTTTCTGGTATCTAGCAAAGTGATTCAGTTATCATATCTATACACATTATTTTTCATATTCTTTTCCATCATGGTTTATTATATCAACAGGATATGGAATATATTTCTCTGTGCTATATAGTAGGTCCTTGTTGTTTATCTGTTTTCTGTTTGGTAGTGTGTTTCTGCTAATCCCAAACTCTCAATTTATTCCTCTCTACCCCCTTTCCCCTCTGATAACTGTAAGTTTGCTTTCTATGTCTGTGAGTCTGTTTTTATTTTGTAAATAGGT